CATCTAACGAATAAATTTCTAAACAATCATAATTTTTTTATAGGTTATTATATTACTTCGGGAAACTAGGAGTCTTTAGATCGCAAGATATATGTACCAACTATATAACGAGTGACTTTAGAATTTACATTGTGAATTCAACAATAATTACACAATATTATTTGTCATGTCATGTAGGAATTTCCCTTTTTTGCTTATTCTTCTCCTTTACACAGCAGTTGAGTAGAAAGGAAGACACTAGTGGCATATATGACATTATGCGAGCAACTCTTTAAAGAAATTAGTTCTTCATCTCTTTTTTCTTCTCCTCCTTTNTTTTACTTCTATTGATAAGGAAAATATTTTCCGTCGAGAAAAATTGCATATTTTTTAAAACATTTAAGCTAACCAAACATTGAAAAATTAAAAAATATTTTCCCCTGAACCAAACACCCCTACATAGCAACTTGTTTTTCTATGCAGCAATTTCAGGTTCTCCTCCTTTACCTGCCTTAACACACATAAGCACAGGCGCGTGCGTGCACACACCAAAAAATTGCCAGTGGAGTTAAGTATATACTGGTATATATAAAAGCTCCGAAAGTTTGAAGAAAAAAAAAAGGGGAAGTTATATTGTCTTATCATGCTTATCTCTATGTTAAAATTTTCCATAAAGAAAAAAATTAATGGGCAGAAAATTTACAAATTAATAAGATAAATGATAATACATGCATGGACGTATGTTTGAGTAAGAGCCTTTTTTTTTTTGGTGAGTAAGAATTTCGTTATCAAATTTATTTCAAATAGAAATCAATTGAAAAAGAAAATCAAGAGTGCTTAGTGCTTGGTCCCAGATAGCAGCTCCTGATGAACTGCCCAGCTAGGCACGATCGCAGACAGACACAAATGAGGCGCCGCTTGCCTTAGTGAGCTCGAAAAAGAGTTTGGGAATTGATCAAAACCCCTTCCCAAACTGTACAAGCTTCTTAATAAAATTAAAAATAAAGAGTGGATATGAAGTTCAGTTCTACCAGGGTTGATGGTGACAATAACAAAAAATCTATAAGATGACCAAGTCCTCCACCTTTTATTGTTTGTTTCACTATCTTATTTTCCCGTATGATTTGTTAGAACAAGTATTGACTTGACCTGCAGCTGCAAGCATCAATAATAGAGCTATCACTGGTTCACTATTGTAGTCAATTTTTCATTGTTTACCCTCAATTTTCTTCTTGAAATCATTCAGCCGGACAACCACCCCCNGTAGGAAAATGAAGTAAAATAAAGAAAGGTAATATCGAAGAACAAAGCAGGAAGTTCGACCAGAAATATTTCACGATTTTGTAAACTAAAAGGCGTCTTAATTACAAGTTAATTTCTTTTCTTAATTCTTAGTATTTGCTTTATGAACTCCTTGTTCATATCGATGAGAAACAATTATCACCATTCTCAACTAGCTAGCTAGGACTCATGTTTGTATGTGGTTCGCTAATTTTTTTGTTTCTTCCATGAAAAATTATACTCCCTCTGTTTCAGTTAATTACGTGAATCTATTTTCTTTTTAATTTATGCAAAAAAAAAAAAAAATGACATCTTTCCTTATTTAGAAATAATTTACATTTATGCAATGATTTACAGCCACACCAAATATATATGCCTTATTTTACACCACAAGTTCCAAAGTCTTCTATCTTTTCTTAAACTCCGTGTCTAATCAAATAGGTTCACGTAAATTGAAACGGAAGGAGTAGTAGTAGTAATAGTAGTAGTAGTAAAATAAGCAATAGGGTAGTCCGGTGCACGAAATATTTCGTGCTCACCATGGTCTAGGGAACGGCCCCAACCAAGGAGGTGTGATATATATAGACAGTCTACCCTGATGTAAGCGTCAGTAACTGATTCGTGCACGGCGAAATAAGTTACTCCAAGGCTCATGTCCTAGTAAAATAAGCAGTAACGACAAATTAGCATGACCAATAAATATTAATATAAAATCTACACTCATTCTAGATACGTAGTTCACATAGTCTATAAATCTATAGTTGTAAACCCTAGCATTTCCTTCCTCTTTATTCTCTTACTCCTATATATACGCATTCTTCAATCTTCACTTTTCTTTGTTTTTAACTTCTTCATGTGTTTTCCTTTCAGCAGTTAGTACAAAGTTAGAGCTCCTAATTAGCTACTGTGTTTGAATAAAATCATAGGTTTTCTCTTGAAGATTTTTTTTTTTTTTAAAAGGTAGCAAAAGTGGATCAAATTAGAAATGGCAAGAGGCCCTTTTCATCCAATGAATCGAAGGAGAAAAAAGATGAGATATTTCCTAATATGTACTCAGCAGCTCGATCTCAGCAAGATATGTCTACTATGGTTTCTGTCCTCTCTCAAGTTATTGGCAACACTTCTTCTACTATTACTACTGCTGCTGGAAATACCCTAAATCATCTCTCTGTGCAAAACCAACCTCAGCCCAATCAACAACAAGGTATATGTACAGTCAGACTTCTTCATAACCGTCATCCTTTTTAATAACACTTTACTCTAACGTACGTTACGTTCAAGCTTTCTTTGGAATTATTTTTCATGTTATAATACATGTTTCCTATAATAACAGTTCACTATAATAACCAAAAAAAAAAAAATCAGAACAAACGAGGTTTTTATAGAGAGGGTTAACTGTATATCATTTGGTTAATGAGTTCGTAATGAAAATCAGATTAGTATATCATGCAAAACTATGAAACAAACTTCTCTTTTAGCCCCTTTTTGTTAAAGACAGAAAAAATAATGTGTATTAATTTGCAACTTGTTGTTGATGATTTTCATTATCAACCAAATTTTATTAGGGTTTTTCCAGAAGATGACTAATTAATTTATAAGATGATAGGTATAATATACACTAACGATGTAAAGAGTTTTTACACCATAATTAATTTAATTTGTTGTAGTTGCAGGTTCCCACTCTATTTTTTAGATTACTGTATCGGGCTTGATAGATGTCGAGTTAATTACCTATTGTAGAACTAAGGTTCATTTTATATGATGGTGTGAGATAATTATGTTGGAAAATTATATATCTCAAAAGATAATGTTTATTTTGACTTGGAAAATCTTTTCTCTTTGAAACAATATTTACATCTACTTATTATTTAGTAAGTTATTACTAATAGAGTCAAACTAGCCGCTAACTAGCCGTTATCTAGCCGTTGGAGCAACGCCTATATAAACATGTCTTTGGAGAGCTAAAGACGCTTTCTAATACAACTTTTTGAATCATCTTTTCCTCCTATATGCGGGGTTTCTTTCTTGAGTTTTCTGCTAGTTCAATTCATATTCCCAGTTTAATTTCATTCTTGAGTTTTCTGCTAGTTCAATTCATATTCCCAGTCTCATTTCATTCTTGAGTTTTCTACTAGTTCTGTTCCCGGTTTAATAACTAGAAAAGCTTGTTGAATCCTGGGGGATACGCCTAATTTTATTTATCACTGTGTGACCGAAATATCCTTAAGGACAGTGTCCTATGGACACGCCTCAAGCTAATTCTTATTCTCCATAACCAATTTTTCCAACAACTTATATACCTTTTTGTAAATTAAAAAAAAAAAAAAGACAGTTCGATGCATAACACAATACACATCCCGCGTTCATGCAGGGTCTGAGAAAAGGTTGTACCCTAAGGGGTGTGATGTAGACAACCTACGTTAATTCAAACACTAATGGTTGCTTCAACGACTCGAACTCATGATATATATACAGTTGACCACCCTTCATTGAAAAATTGCACTATGTATATAGGTAAAATATTACGTTTTATAGGTATATAATACATATTGAACACCCTTTGTCAGAATTGTTTTTTCACTTCTTTCAAATTTGAATACCCTCGAGAAAATTCCTAACTTCGGTACAGTATAAATACTCTTTCTACTTCCACAAATAGCTTAATTTCTCCTTGTTTCCTTGGTTCAAATTTAAACCTTTTTGTTATACGTGTTGTATATATGTGAAGGGAATATTGAAAGAAGAAGACATTATAGAGGAGTGAGGCAAAGACCATGGGGAAAATACGCAGCCGAAATCCGTGACCCAAAAAAAGCTGCTCGAGTTTGGCTTGGCACTTTTGAAACTGCTGAAGCTGCTGCTATTGCTTATGATGAAGCTGCACTTAAATTTAAAGGAAATAAAGCTAAGCTTAATTTCCCTGAAAGGGTTTTAGCTAAAACTGAATTTGGTTACCTTACTACTGCTACTACTACTCAAGAGCAATTAATTAATATTTCAGCTGCTAATTTTCTCCCAAATTATAATTTCAAGCCTTTCTCTCAATTACAACATTACCCTCAGCTGCTTCTCACTGGCAATAATAATGCTGATTCATCAAGATTTAATCACACATCAGGTATATAATATTAGTGGCGGGTCCAAAATTTAAAAGTCGTGAATACTGAAATATATATTTAATTTCATTTACTTTTTCTTTTTCATACTTATGCAGGATTCGGTCCTGACACACTGAATACTGCTGAACCAGCAAACTCATGGTTAAATCCGCCACTGTCAAGTACTTCCATTTCAGAATCATCGTCGATGACATCTTTGGTACAACAAGCACCAAGTAATTACCAGCAAGTCGATGAAAATATTTCATCTCAATTTTGGAATTCTTCGAGCTCAAGACCTAGTGAAAGTAGTAATAATTGGGAGGAATCTTACTATCCAAAGTAATTCTTTCAACAACATGAAGGTTTCTTGGGGATCGGATGCCTTTTACTATCGGCGTAAGTTTTTTCATACTTAGTTCCAAGTTTTTGGTTTTGAAAGTGGATTTTAAAGGTATAAAATAATTGGTAGTTATGTACTTATGAAAATAAATTTCACGTGGTTTAATGCTCTTAACTCTTCATTCCCCCTTCTCATCCCTAAATTCAAAATTATAGATAACAATAATATGAAATATTATCAACGAAGGACGTATTTAGTATGCATCAACATTTAACGGGTAAGTTATTTCTTTCTACAGTCAGTGTAAAACAGTTCAAAGGTCAAAAAGTCACAATTTGACTAAAGTGTGTACCACTTACAACTTATTTGGATGGTTGTTACCTGTATTGTATCGTATCGTATTGTATCGTATTGTTATTTTAAATATAATATTTATTTTCATTGTTATTTAAATTTTATTGTATTGTATTGCTAAATCCATCGTTACGTAAGTCACTTTATGGAACGACGGATTTTTTATGGTGGCGTCGCTTTTTTTTTTGGTTGCTTTTTTCCTCTCATCTTGCCCTTCCTTATTATTGAATAATCATATTTTATTCTTTACCCTACTTTTTTATATAATAATTCTACTCCGTATCCTTTTTTTGGCAATGTTGCAAGTTTGTTTTTCTTGGTAATGACGGCAAACGATACAATCTATACAAATGTTGTATTCATCAAACAATACAATTATACAATGCAGTATAATATAATACGATACATTATATGAAACGACATGTAACAACAATCCAATATATTGCTTAATAGTGCAATTGGATGTTACATTTAAACTTCATAATTGCCTAAACTAGATGCATTAAAGCTTGTGGGCACAAGCTTTATATACTATATAGTGGGAGGTTAAGCTATCGCTTCCTTTAATTTGAGCATAAATAGGCAGTAGTAATTATAGATTTTATACTTCTGTCCTTTCTTTTTAGTATTATCAGCTTCTTACACAATTAAACAGCGTTTGTTCACTGCAGAAATTGGGTCATTGATGGAGATGGACAGTAAGTAGTAGAAAATCAATGAGCTAAGTCTAGAATGTTATATTACCAATTAGGTTAAGCCGTTAATTAATTAGCCTAAATGCTGCTTAGGCATCGGGTACACACTATGGCCATCATTAACTATTCATATAGTAAGATGAAAGTTACACATACATTTGTTGTGTAAATTTTTTGATTCGATCGGTGAATTTTAACCTGTGATAGTGTAACAGCCCAGTCCACTAGTGATATTGTTCGGTTTGGGTCTAGGCCGTTCAGTTAACGGTAGTGGGGCAAATCTCAGTGAGGACGATGAGTCCCTAAGGAGGTGTATGTGACACCCTAGGCAAATCCCTCATTGAGAAAATACGGGAGAGATGCTGAGTATATAATGAAACATACCTTAGACTCTAGTGATTTACTAACTCACAAGCTAGTACTTATCACAGAGATATACTGTTAATTATATTATGGAATATGATTGTGTAAATATTTTGTATCTTTGTCAGTGCACAGAACTTAATATTCATCTATACTAATCCTTAAAATATCAAATCTTCTCTTTTTGTATTAGAGAAGAAGAGAAGATATAGTTCGACTCACCTTTTTGACACTTCCAACGTTTGATGCTGGTGATCTGATGATCGGCTTCTCCATTTTTGCATGTAAACGTGCATGCATCATCAAAAGCTAGCTTTACTAGAAAACGCAGCGAACATGGTATATATATTTTAGTGCAAAAAAGCTTACATTGGAATGAGTATATGGCGTGTGCTTTTGCTTGCTTATATTTATACAGTTATACTTTTGGGCATTAAAATCTTTAAGTTCTGTATTCTCTATATAATTGCTGTATATTATTATTGTATGAACAAAGAGAACGGAATGTGAAAGGAATGAATTTACAAGTCATGGAATTCGGCTTTTATTGACGATGTCAACTTGCAAAAATACAAACAGACAGTCATCTATTTTCAACTGGGCAAAACACGTACTACCACGATTAGGTTTGACCGTTCATGAATGGTTGACTTTTCCTCTTTCAAATAGGCCGGATTCGCGTCGCAAAATACCATATTAGGGGTAAAGTACTCTCTAACAAAAGCAACTCCATAACAATGGTTCGAAACCAGGACCTCTAATTAAGAACGAAGGAATATTTAACTCTAGTTAAAGAATTAAAATCCTAGATCTGTCTCTGATCTGTAACGACCCGGCCGGTCATTTTAATGGTATTAGCCTCGATCCCCTATTTACAGTTTTTTCCATATCTTTTCTGCTTATATGACTTGCCGGGAGGTTTTGTTTTTGGTTTCGAAGTGATTTGGGACACTTAGTCCCTAAAACGGAAGCTTAAGTTCTAGGAATTTGACCGTAGTTGGAACTGTGTGAAGACGACTCCGAAATGGAGTTTCGTCGGTTCTGTTAGCTCCGTCGGGTGGTTTTGGACTTTAGGAGCGTGTCCGAATTGTGATTTGGAGGTCCGTAGCTGAATTAGGCTTGAAATGACGAAAGTTGAATTTTTGGGAAGTTTGACTGGTAGTGGACTTTCTGATATCGGGGTCGAATTCCGATTTCAGAAGTTCGAGTAGGTCCGTAATGTCAATTATGACTTCTGTGCAAAATTTGAGGTCAATCGTACGTGATTTGATAGGTCTCGGCATCGATTATAGAAGTTTGAAGTTTCAAAGTTCATTAAGCTTGAATTGGGGTGCGATTTGTATTTTTATTGTTGTTTGATGTGATTTGAATGCTCGACTAAGTTCGTATGGTATTTTAGGACTTGTTAGTATCTTTGGTTGAGGTCCCGAGGGCCTCAGGCGTGTTTCGGATCATTTTCGGATTCATTTTGGACTTGTGAGAATTGTTGAAGTTTTTCAACTTCTGGTGTCATCGCACGTGCGATGAGTTTGGCCGCAGGTGCAGACACGCACGTGCAGAAGGAAGCTCGTAGATGCGGCCCTGGTCTGTAGGGGTGTTCATAAAAACCCAAAAATCGAACCAAACTGACCAAAAAGTCGATACTTTTTAGGTTTGGTTTGGTTTTGGTTTTGGTTTTGGTTTTAAATTTTAAAAATTAATCAAATTTGGTTTATTTTTTATTTTAATCAAAAAATAACCGAACAAAAACCGAACCAAACTGACTATATAAGTAGCTAGTTAAATTTATTATTACACCTATGTATATGTATATTTTTATATAAAGTTTCTAAAATATTATGGAACATATTAGTTGTTTGTATTTTAAGTCTAGTTCTTTGCTATTACAATAATCTAATTCCTTGCCTTTACATTCTAGTTTGATTTTGCTAAGTACAAGAATTATTTCATGTTAAAAAAAATCTATTTTTAATTGAGTACTTAAATTATTCATCACTATTTGATTCAATTATCATCAATATATTATGGTAAATGATAGATTTCTCAAAGAGAAATTAGTTTGATAGTGTTACGTTGAAAATATAGTGGCCGTAATATGTGTTTGTTAGTGTATATCTCATATATAAGAAAAAGCCCGATAAATAACCAAAAAAACCGAAAAATCAAAAAACAGATAAAAACCGACAAAAACAGAATCGCTGAAAAACTGACTTAATTGGTTTAGTTTGGTTCCAACATTTTAAGAACCGACTTACTTGGTTTTTTTTTTGGGAAAAACAGATCCAAACCTGTCACGCCCCGAACCTGGGAGCGAGACCGACACCCGGTACCTTACTCAACCAAGTACCAACGTAATGTACCTTTCTTATTACATCGTTATATACATGTGACATATGGGCCTAATAGGCTAACATAATCATTTATAAACTCAAACATAGGCCGATAGGGCCATACAATCTTTCACGTACACGACATATGTCTACANTGGTCGGGACAGAGTCCCGCCATACCAAACAATACACGTCTAAATCATACTAACCAAACAAGCAACTCCGAAGCAAATGGAGCGCACCAACATCTTCTGCTGGGCTGATAGCCTATTTGGAGGGCTCTCGACCTGTCTATCGGGACCTGCGGGCATGAAACGCAGCGTCCCCAGGCAAAAGGGATGTCAGTACGAGTAATGTACCGAGTATGTAAGGCATATAAATAAGTACATAAGAGATATGGAAGAAATATAGAGTACATGACTCATCCTGCAAGTCTGAATAACTGTGTAAATCATAAATTACTTTTAGCGTCATACATATGCGTATGAATGTCATGTCGTACATAGGTACATGTTTCATAACATCATCAGCCTCTGAGGGCATCCCATCATTTCATATCGGCCACTGTGGGCAAAATCATCATCGTATACCAGCTGATCAGGTGGTGGTGCGTATATAACGCCATAACCTTTCCCATATCCCATATATATATAAATACAAATATACGCGTATATAACGCCATTTGAATACATACATATATATATGCGTATATAATGCCATTTGAATACATACCCGTATAGGCGTATATAACGCCGTTTGAATCATATTTCAGCCACTGTGGGCAACATCATCATCATGTACCAACTGATCAGGTGGTGGTGCGTATATAACGTCATAACCTTTTCCCATTCCGTATACATATATTTACATATATACGCGTATATAACGCCATCTGGTCATGAGTCAATGCACATGAATGCAATGCATGAAAAGTATGTCAATAAAATCATTCGGAAGGTCATACGACCACTTTGCCTCTTGAGTAATATCATAAAGTAACATCTTTTCAACTTTCGTATTTTTCTGAGACCCATGAACAGATAATAAAATATTATGACACATGAGAATTAAAGAACATAGATATTTCTATTACTTCTATGAGTAGAGTTACTTATGGAATTTGTGCATTTGCACGTTTCTTTCATATCGTATGAATCATGCCAAAAGAAAGAAGGGATAGCCTTAACTTACATGTTCCTTAAATTATTTGATCGAGGTGAAGTTTCTGCTTCCGTGAAATATGTTGGAACGGGAAAATGAAGCTTCTACTTCTGAAATTGGAACGAAACTTTGCTTGAATTTTGTTGGAGTTAGACGAATTTGCTTTAGTTGAAGCCTTTGTCTTCGAATTGGAATGTTTCTGCCTCAGCACTTCTTTTAACGAATTTTCCTTGGAATCAAGACTTTTAATTCTTTAACCTTTCCAATTAAGACCAAAAACTCCCCAACGTTATTTTGGTTTCAAGTCTTAAGAGGAAAATATTTCTGTTTTTCTCATGTTTTGGTAACCAAAAACAGAATGGAACATTTTGGCTAAAGATAAGAGTTTTGGATGAGCTTGTATAAGTCTTTCTATGACTTTCAGTTATTATTAAGTAGCCACCTAGCAATGTGACTACTTAGTCACTTTCTAGGCTTTGTGGCTTCTTGCCACATGTAGGGGGGTTAGTTTATTAATTA